GTATTAGAAGAAATTGAATGTGTAATTGTTTGCTATATTGAATTTTATCTGAAAAATAGTCGATTTCCATCTTCAAATGAATGTTTCAATTTGGCACTAGGAAAATTCGACATTTCCAAAGATCGATACAGAGAAATTTTCAACCTTATGTAAGTGAATTTACGAAGATTGACTTAAAATTTAAGAATTTAAGAAGACTTGTTCTTATTTAAGAAGACTTGTTCTTTTCTTTTTTAGAAATCGATTAATTGTAGCTGATGATAAAGAACATGAAAATCGTAACCTGGCTGTTGATCCCCATGCAGTCAGAAAACAACAACATCAACGGTTAAGCGGTAGCGAGGATGGTTCGTATTCAGAACTTCCAGGAATAGGAACGGAAAAGAAGAAACGTTTGAAGTTGTCACGGTTAGAGTACTGTCTTTTCTTGTAATCCTTCACTTTCGTTGCTCTTTGTATTGCAGGGAAGCAGAAAAACTTAAAGATTCACTGTCAGCAGAAGCCATTGGCAAACGAAAACGACATTGATTTTTTACTCTTGTATTTTTGCTTAAATAACCCTTTTTTTGGTTGTATATTTGTTATTATTGTTACAAATAAAAATGCATCTAAGTGAAAAAAAGTCCTCGACAATTCATGAAAGGAGGATAGAAAGAGCTAATAATCTTTTCGGAAACTTTTACATGCTTGTCTTTACGATACATGTCTGAACATATATAAAACGATAGTGAAATCAGGAGGGTGTATGCCTTTAAGTTACCACTCTGTCAACGAATATACTCAATTCTCATTTCAGGGGAACTATATTCGCATTATCCTTTCGCCACCGTAAATCTGCTTAACGAGATTATTAATCTTTTGCACGATTTAGTTCTTTTAGATGAACTCAACACTAAAATATCTGTTTTGTGCTATATTAAGCATTAGAAAAATCTTGTATGATCGATGTCGACATCGACCATACAAGATTTTTCTAATGCTTAATATAGCAAGCCGATGAATATCTGGTTCTATATAGGTACGATAATATTTAAGTAAAGCATTACCATTCATGAAATTACACCAGATGATTCATTTTCAAGTGCTACGAAAAATGTTTGTGGATGGTTTTGGAATTTTGAAGCATATTTCACATGAAATATAAACTTTTTTCGAACTTTTCATGTGTTGGTAAAATAAACAGAATTACTCTCGATTTCAGGTGGTAAACTTGCTAATGCACTTTGTTGTCTTGATCATATAATATCAAACGCTTCTTTCCGCTTCAGAAATTTATCCATAACTAAAATTAGAAAAGGATTGATTACCGACAATCGAAATATCTTGTTTTCTGAATGGGTGTTCGTCAATGGGCTCTAATTGTTTGCGAAGACCCCTTTCGTAAATGAGAATTGTCTCTTAACCAACAGGTCTTCGGCAATACAAGGCACCCATTTACGAAAGGGTGTGTTGTAAACTGGAATTGTTACTGACTCCTGCAAATGATAAAAACTAATTTTCTATTTACGACGAGTATTTGCAAAAACCTGTTCGTTAATAATAATCCTTTATTTTCTTGTATAAAAGTTCAAAGAAAATATATCAGGTTGCGAAGCGGTCTTCGTCAAGTGAACCGTAATTCTTTTGTAGTTACTTGACCGATAAGAGAAGTCTATTTACGATGGGGTCTTCGGTAAGGGAGTTCATGCCGGCTCTTCGTTAACAGAAGAGGCGCATTCGCGAAGAGGTGATCGTAAACTGATACTAATTGGGCTTTATCTTGCCTTTCGCCTTCCTTTTTCGAACTCAGTTAACGACGAGGTCGTCATTAAAGGCAAGTGTTAGCTCTATAAAGGTTCAAAAAGAAATCTCGTTTACAAACTCAGAGAATTTCTTCTCCCTTTCTAACGTTTAATGCATTTTCATCAGCAAACTAGCCTTCTTTTTGTAGATGGTTTAAGATTTCAGATATTTTTTTGTAGATGGGTGAAGGTGTTTACAACAATAAGCCAAACTGTTTTTCAGTCACACTTCATGAGCCGTTCACAATGTCCTTGCCGGTATAGATAGATTTGACTGGGAATGATAAACTTTAGATTGTATACCTTTATTTTTAGAATGATATACAAGGAATCTCATTAGAAGTAGAACCAATGAAGAATTATGTCATCAACACGTCAGCTATATCAAGTTATTGAAACATATCGGCATTATCTGCTTATTTTATAATACGTTTTATAAAAATCTCCAATTAATCCACTGTTTTTTAGCATTTTTGCAATGGTCAGTTATAGTATTCCTATGAAGTACTCTTTTATGCTGTATTTCAATATAGAGTTAGCATTTTGAAATAAATATGAAAAGTAAAGTTAGTTCGTTCTAATTTTGCCTATCGGTTTTTTCGAGAACACTTCTTTCATAATTATATCGTAGGGATCCTCGATGACTTATTTTAGAAAAGAAGAAACAAACAGTACAATACAATAATACATTAAATAGCCTACTTAGTACTTTTTTACAGGAAGGCGGGAGCTTCTTAATCGGAATGCAATTCTGATTTTCGAAATGAGAGAAAGAGGCCTATCGAACCACTTTCTAAACCTATTCAAATGGATGTATTTCAAACGAACGCTTTAAAGTGAGTGTTTAACTTATACAAGAGAGCTCTCTAGAAGTTTCCACTTTTATTTTTAGATGTCTTTCACAGCTGAAGAAGCCCGCGAATTAATAGAGACCGGTCAAAAGTTAAATAAGTTACCAGAAACAATCGAAAATGGCCATCTTCCTCATTGATGTACCCCAGCAAATTGTGGAAGGATGCCAATATCTTGCGGAACTTTAACATACAAATCAAGACCAGCATCGTCACTATCATAATAGTCACTGATTCATTCCCTCATTCAGAAAACAACGGTATATTGCAAATTTTCTTTTCGTGTTCTATACAACTAAATATTAATATGCGTCCTGTACGTGATACGACCGTCGAACAAGTCAAAAATGTGCATTAAAAATAATCCATCGCTCACCTAAAGAAAGATGAAAAGTATTTTTGTGCTGTCCACACGTCATTAGCATATTAGATGTGTACGAAAATCAATGTCTGAATCATCGATATTTATTCATTGCTACGGAGTGTATGAAAGGTGCAGAACTATTTTACAGGATAGCGAACTCTCTGACTGGCGACAAAAACTCTCAAAAATCATTATTCTGCGAAATATTTTCATGAAACAATTACTACAGTAGTACACATCGTAGATATTACTACGTAGTTTCCAAATAAAACAATACTGTTAATGTTAGCAAAATAAAAAAGTTCTGGTGGTACGAAAAAGCTATCGCAGAGTATTATGTTTTTGTTAAAACTCGAGACTTACGGGATTTTCTAGTACCATCAAGGAGAAAGCGAGATTTACGGAGCATTTTGAGTGCTATGTGCATCTCTAACTTCACCTTTGCCACATACTGTATGATTAGTTATCTGTGTTTTTTTCAGAGATTTGATAGCTGTCTGGCCTAAATTTTATTCTGATTATATATTAAACGTTGACTTGCAAGAAGACAACGTGAATTTTGGCCAGAGCATACATGTCGTGTTTCAACAACGAGCTAAACGACACGACAGAGACAAATACGATAGAAACTAGAGAAAAACGATTCCAGTAGCAGTTTTCGTCGTGCGGTAGTAAATTATTTACTCAGTCACTTAATTTCTACTCAAGAACTCAGCATCTGTGCACACTATCTTGGCCGACAACAGCATCGGATTCATGTACTATGGTAGCTGCACATTCCCGCTGTATGGGACTTCTCATTAGATGGGGATTGAAGAAATCAACAATAATGGGGCATTCATGGATTTACTAGAGAAATATCTTTTCAATAGTTTTTGACTAGACGTGTTGGAGAATAATTCTTTTGCATTCTCAAATGAAAAACTTTTATTAATACTTATCTAATCTTTCCAAACGGCGAAAAATGCTCACCGTGCTACGTTTATCAGACTAGCACCGACGGAAAAAATTTTCAAATAAAACCGGTTTTTTTTCGAGAAACCCATAAAACCCACGGTTTTGAGAAGTCGCGTTTTGATCGAATGGAGTTGCAGTGGCGGCACTGGCGAAACCGCGGTTTTAAAGGCATGCGCTTTAGTGAGAACGAACCGCGGTATCTGAAACCGGGCTTTTTCACGATTTTATATACCGCGATACACTCCAGCTAAACCGCGGTCTGTGAATACCGCTCAGCCAGTTTATTAAACCACTATGTTTACGGGTCAGAGTTGGGTTTATCTTCACCGCGCTTTTTAATGATTTCGAGACTGCGGTTTCCGTCAATAAAACTGCGGTTCGATGCTACCGCGTTCTCCACCTGACTGGGCGGTGCGGTTTGTATCAGCAAATCGAGATAGCACTAACCGCACTTTTATCTGTTTTTTGAAAATACACTTTATACCGACGAATATGTATCTTTTGTAGCTCATTGTTGTGAAACAATAACAATGAGTGGTTCGTTTTCTTTATATTTTATTAACCTGACCGGTTTCGAGCTCATCTTCAGAGGTTAACCAAAAGCTGTATAAACGTTTAGAATACATTTTTTAACTATGGTTGAACACTTGAACATTCAAGAATCAGCAAAATGGATGTCATCCATTTATAGTAGTTCGGTTCACTTGTCCAAGTGAAACTCCACAGTCTTCGGTGTCTACTGGGACTTTTTAATTAATAGATTTGGTACTATTCTTTGTATTTAATATAGACCGGTTTCCAATTCTTCTTCTGTACATAGAAATAACAAATCTGCAAGTAACAAAGTAACCAATCTGCCACGTCTGAGCAGATACAAATGGCACGAATATAAGCAGCGTATGGGATGTTCTTTTTTATATGCTTTGGATATGTGTTGTCGTACGGGAACACCTGTGGTTGCGCCGCTGGTTTTCAACAGAATATCGTACAAAAGTTGTGACATCCAGATAATTAGCAGTTGTCTGCAGTCCGCTGCACTAAGAAGTCTTTCTCCCATTCATACATATACGCGCCTGCCAATACCTGAGTTACAGCGTTGTCCACAGCACCTCCCGTTATTTGTTTGAAGAGTTTTTCTTCATAGGCAAATATGGGTTGTCCAACACATGTTGAATCAACTTCGCGAAAGTATCATTTGATATGTTACCAACTTCAAACTTCTTTCTAGTAGACTACGCAATGCAGAAACTGATTGTTTCTGGGAGATCATCGTATACAAATCCGTTATATCAAAAGTGCTCTGTTGTTTTGCCCATTGTATGAATAACATTTTGAAACTGGCATTCTATCAAATAAGAAAAGAAAAGGAAGCAGCCAAAGAAAATTTAATAACGGAGAATAAACAGCCACCGTCAGCGCCAACAACAGCGAGCTCATC